TAGTGGTAAGCAGTGCACGCTTCCACTCCGCTGCACCTGGGTTTAAGCCCTGGTCAAAGCAACATCGAAAAAAAATATATATAGAAAAAAAGGTTTTTTCTTAACAGCGGTCGTCCCTCCATGAAAAACAGCTTCTCACAAAAATACAATCGCCGTTCGGAGTCGGCGTAAAACTGTAGGTCTCACCGCTTTGTGTGACAACATCAAGGCGCACGCCATAAATCGAAGGAGAGGCTCGGCCAAACACTAACATATGTGTAAGCGCCCATCTATTATTATTATTATACATACATATCGTCGTTTAAAGTACAAAATCGCGTATCAACAAAATGCAAACCCGCGTATAAAGTTAATGCAAAACCGCGTATGCGAGGATGCATAAACAATTTTATAGAGAGTAAAAACATTCATATTTCAAAATGGTTCCCTTTTTTATAAAGCAATCGCATTTGCTCCTAGTATATCTCAAGATGAATGGATAAGGATTAAGCCAAGAGTTTGTGAAAGCAAATCCAATTTTTGGCAGCCAATGTCAGTTACGCGGTTTTGCAGAATGACGATACGCGGTTTTGTACTTTAAACGACGATATGTATCTTTTCCTGTAATAAATATATCGATGGTCCTCTAAAATAACGACACAATTCAAGATTCAAAAAATAAAATTCGTACTATTATTAAGTGGCTCATGTCTTTAATCGTTGTCTTATTCATGTATAATCTTTACTACTTACTTTAGTTAGTATTAGACATGAGTTAGCCAAGGATTAGAGACATGAGCCTCTTAACAGTAATAAGGGATTTAATTTTTTGAATTTTGAGTTGTGTCGTTACTGCAGAGGACCATCCACATGTAAATTCATATATTTTGATATTGAAATAAGTTCGAGCATAAATACGATTTTTAGTTACATGGCGGGAATTTTTTTTCGAAAGAATTCTTTTTCCTGTTATCAATTCATATTTGAATCTGAGGATAATCGGACCATAAACGTGATTTTTAGTGATAACTCGACTCCAGCGCCACCTGACGCTCTTTTTTGCAATGGTATTGGTTTTCCTATTGTCAATGCACATCTGGAATATGAGGCGAATCGGACCATAAATACGGGCTTCAATAATAACTCAACTCCAGCGCCACCTAGCGGTTGTTTTAATAGTTATTCTGCTATTCGGAAGGTAGACAATTTCAAAAAACAAATATCGTAAAAATCGGTTCAGCCGTTCTTGAGTTATAAATGGTGTAACTAACACGACTCTGTTTTACATAAATAGATATATAAGTATATAAAATTTTGTATCTCTTTTATTTAATATTTGAAAATTCAAAATAATAACAGTAAGCAATGAATTTACGATGTAAACCTTTCTGGTTGTTTTATCACCCGTCCAGATCTTGTCGTTGTTACATATCTGGGAATATCTGCTTCCGGTTTAGTAGTTGCAGCTTCCACTATTGTGTCGATGTCTGTTTGTGGGGCCTCTGAGGAAGTCGGCGGGGTAGTGGAAGCTTTTGTTGTCGCCTATTTCGCCAGGTAGGTATGGCAAATCTTTGCATCCAGCAGCAACGACCCAGCGGCGCACTGCTAAATGGGGTCCGTCCACAATATGCATTGCGTAATTTCTACAAATAAATGATTAAAACACCGCTGACCCAATTTAAAATTGTAATGCTTATTGTAGGCATTCGNATTTTTTGAATTTTGAGTTGTGTCGTTACTGCAGAGGACCATCCACATGTAAATTCATATATTTTGATATTGAAATAAGTTCGAGCATAAATACGATTTTTAGTTACATGGCGGGAATTTTTTTTCGAAAGAATTCTTTTTCCTGTTATCAATTCATATTTGAATCTGAGGATAATCGGACCATAAACGTGATTTTTAGTGATAACTCGACTCCAGCGCCACCTGACGCTCTTTTTTGCAATGGTATTGGTTTTCCTATTGTCAATGCACATCTGGAATATGAGGCGAATCGGACCATAAATACGGGCTTCAATAATAACTCAACTCCAGCGCCACCTAGCGGTTGTTTTAATAGTTATTCTGCTATTCGGAAGGTAGACAATTTCAAAAAACAAATATCGTAAAAATCGGTTCAGCCGTTCTTGAGTTATAAATGGTGTAACTAACACGACTCTGTTTTACATAAATAGATATATAAGTATATAAAATTTTGTATCTCTTTTATTTAATATTTGAAAATTCAAAATAATAACAGTAAGCAATGAATTTACGATGTAAACCTTTCTGGTTGTTTTATCACCCGTCCAGATCTTGTCGTTGTTACATATCTGGGAATATCTGCTTCCGGTTTAGTAGTTGCAGCTTCCACTATTGTGTCGATGTCTGTTTGTGGGGCCTCTGAGGAAGTCGGCGGGGTAGTGGAAGCTTTTGTTGTCGCCTATTTCGCCAGGTAGGTATGGCAAATCTTTGCATCCAGCAGCAACGACCCAGCGGCGCACTGCTAAATGGGGTCCGTCCACAATATGCATTGCGTAATTTCTACAAATAAATGATTAAAACACCGCTGACCCAATTTAAAATTGTAATGCTTATTGTAGGCATTCGACTTACAATGCACATTTCAATTTACAAACGAAGACGTATTGTAATGAACGCCCGAAGAGTATTCGGGCACATCATACTTTCCGATTACAAACAAAACCGGTATGTAGAGGACGCTAACCACAAAGCGGCCATGCCTATGGCAAAGTAATCTGGATTGTAATCCATTCATTCCGATATACCGCCTTCGAAGTTTTGAAGGAGTATTCGATTACGTAACGTGCATTTGCGCCTCTGGGGAGGTGAAACGAGGTACGCCGAAAATCACCACAATCAGTAGATACTATGTAGGACCATGGTGTTTCCCCACGTTTTAATATTTTCCCCCATATGCCTAAATCGCGCACCCAAACTACGTCGCCCTCTTTAAAGGACTCACTTCTTCGTCTTCGATTGTAGTTTTCTGCTTGTCTCGTTTTAAGTGTTTTCTCTTTTAAAATTGCTGACTTAAGTTCGTATTTTGGGAGAAGTTGTTGGTCAATAGTTATTAAGGTGGTACGAATCTTCATGCCTATCAAAATTTCCGATGGCGATGGGCCATTGGCTAACGGGGCCGATCTACACTCCATCAACGCCAAATATGGATCTTCATTTTTCTTCAAGAGAGATTTAACTGTTTTCACCATAAATTCGATAAACCCATTGCTTTGAGGGTATCGCGGAGATGAAGTAATATGCTGGAATCCCCATTGATTAGCAAACATTGCAAAGGAGTGGTTTATTCTTTGAAACTGCGATCCATTACCAGACCTCACTACTTCCGGTACGCCGTGTCTGCAAAAATTAGATTTGATGTGATTAATAACACAGTTTGTGGTTTGGTTCTCCAGTCAGGATATTTCGGGATATCTCGAAAAGCAGTCGCTTGCAATCAAATAACACGAAGAATTGTGGTAGAACAGGTCTATTCCCACAACTTGCCAAGGCCGCTCTGGTGTCTCGGTAGAGATACAGCTTTCCCGTCGAGGGGTGACGTTTTGGATACATATTGAGCACTTTTTCACGTAGTCTTCAATATCTTTGGTGTATCCTGGGGGTCAATTCTCGATCTGTGAAACGGTGAAATGAAAACTTTTTTCGCGTTTTCATTGCACTCGATTCGCTTTCAGTGAAAAAATGAAAAGTGTTTTCACATGAAAAAAAAAGTGGAACGAAACGAAACTTTTAGAGTTTTAAATATATTATCTAGAAGACAATATAGACATTGCAAACGATGAGTATGAAGCCTTTTTAACATAAACAAACGAATACCAATTATTTATAATTATAGATTTGTGACGGCAGATGGTGCCAAATTTCGCGAAGAAAAGTGAAAAGAACTAGCGGTGAGCCTTACTGCTCTTGGCGGCACTCAAAAGGATGGTGCAAAATGGAAGAAGTATTGGAGCGATGTAAAGTATGTACATATATACATTTTTCATGATTTGATTATTTTTTTAATGTTTTATTTTAATACCTACAAACAGACTTCATACTCGCACAAAATATAGTGCGATAAGGCAGGCAGAGCAGAGAAGTGGTATAAATGGTTTGAGCCGGGCCAAAGCACTGTCATTGCTGGAAGAGCGCATAATTAAAATTACAACTGTGCAGGCAGTCGATGGTGATGAAACGGGCGAAGTGGGCTTTGAAGCACTCGACATGGCAGAAGCTTCTCACAATCTCGCTGATGTTGTGGAGGAGACATTCGAAGTGGTTGTGGCTGAATGTGAGTTAGATGGTACTACAGCCGCAACCGCATTGGAAGATGCAACTACGTGTTCAATGAAGGGGGCGAGCACCTCAACTGCTGCAGCAATAAGAGGCAGCACAGCAGCAGCCCGTTCGAGAGGGCAAAAAAGAAAGGCGCAAGCAGAAAACCCTCAGTTAGAAAAAATGGTTTAGGCTAGAGGAAATCAAGGTAAGGGAAATGGAGATCGCCAATAATTTAAAACGCGAACAGATCCAAGCGGTGAAGGAGCAGACAGAGGCAATAATAGTGGACACGCAAATGAAAGAATGCATTGCAGAAAAACTAAAAAGTTTAATTGAAATTTTGAGGCGGCGGTTAGAATGTTTTAATTTTAGAAACAGCCTTGCCCATAAGTATTAGACAATTTTTGTTATACCCTTTTCTAATGCTTAAGAAAACTTGAAGTCCTTTTTATTCTTAATATTTTTAGAGTTTAAGAAAATATGAAGTCGGTTTTACTTTTAATATTTAGAATTTAAGAAAACATGAAGTTATTTTTACTTTTAAACTTTTTTAGAGTTTAGAAAAATATGGATATTTTTATTTTTTCTAGAGTCTATGAAAATATGAATTTTTTTAGCTTTTAAAAATATATGAATTTCTCTGTTTAATGAATTTATGTACAAAACTTACTTGTGATAAAAACTGAATTTAAAAATACTTATCTTGGATTGCTATATATCTATGTGTGTATTTTTATATTTCTTCTGGAGCCTAATATGAGATATCGAATATGAATGAAATCGAATCTTTTTTATTTTTTAGTCTTTAAGAAAATATGAGGTCCTCATTGCAATGAATTTATGAACAAAACTTTTTGTGATAAAAAGTGCCTTTAAAAAGAATTAAACATTTGGAAATATAATATACATATGCATATTTATTAATATATGTAAATAAGTAAAAAAACGAATGTAAAATAAAAAGTTGAATTATTTGCAATCTAATTTTGAATGTTATTATTAAAAGCATATTGAACAATTTGCAATCGTTGTCTTTTCGCAATGGATAATATATTCGGTGTAGAAATAGCTGAAGAAGGGCCACCACATTCTTCAGGTTCATCAGAGTCTTCCAAATAAATTTCATCGAACGGCACTCTAGGTCGAATCAAGTATTAAGTTGTGTAAAACCAAGCAAGCGTTGATTATGAGGCCTGCTTGTGGTGGACTGTAGAAAAGGGCTCTTTCTTTCGACAGACAGCGAAATCTGCTTTTTAGTAAGCCAATGCATCTTTCTACAAGAGCTCAAGTTGACTTGTGTGCTATATTGTAGCGCTCGTCTGCGGTACATGATGTCGCACTAATTGGTTTCATCAGCCAAGGCTATTTTAAAATTTATATTAGCATTCGATCTTTAACAAAGAAAAATAATATAAATTGTACCTGTAGTGGGTAGCCACTATCACCCAGAAGCCAGAAATCCCGCTCACCCACCTCATAAAGCTCCTCCAGAGCTCTTCAAGCTCTAGAGCGACGCCATACAGTACCTCCGAACTGAGCGCTAGCAGACAAAACGATATAATCAGCATCACATATTATCACAACGTTCTTGGAGTGCCCACCCTTTCGGCAATAGTAAACATGCTCAATTTTTTTCTTCGGGGCTGATATTTTGATGTGCTTTCCGTCTATGAGTCCGATTATTCCAGGAAATTGGTTTTTTTTCATGAATTTTATTTTGAGCGCCGGGAAGTCTTCGCGTTTTGGGAACTTTATATGTCTGTGGGCTATGTTATTTAGTGCAGTTGCCACCACTTGCAAACATCTGCTAACTGATGTTTGGAATAAAGCAGATAAACTGTCTTGCCCCACACTTCTTTGAAAGCTACCAGTGGCAAAAAAACGCAGGGCGCTTAAAATAATTACATGACTCGGAACAGCATGTCTCCGTTGCGAGTTCGGCATAAATGGCATTAATTCATCAATTAATTCCAGGCACAAAGCTTTAGGGAACTGATATAAATCAATGAAGTGCTCGTCTGTTGTAATATCAAAGGGATTTTGGTCGTCGCGAAGTGAGCACTCTCAAATTATCTCTGAAATACATAATGCGTTAAATTGTATATACTGCATTTAAAAAATTTACGCCTTTATTACCTTTGTTCATCTCGAATTTTTTGCGATAATTTTAATAAAATAATTATTCCCGACATGTTTTGTTTACGTTTTCCTCAGCTTTGACATTTACTTCGAAAATTCAATAGCACATTTGCAAAAGTTTCACGACTATACTGGTAATGGAACACGATTTTCACAGCACAAACCAGAATCGCAAAATAAGTGTTTGCGAAAAGGCAGAGTGAAAAGTAGGTGTGAGACCGAAAATGAAAATTTTTTCACTTCATCTTATCACAGAACGAGAATTGACCCCCTGGCCACCATATACATTCCTTTGCTCTGGCTTTTCATTTAACTACTCCCATATGGTCGGCGTGTATTCGCTACAGGATTTCGCGACAGCGATCGACAGGGATCACAATGCTGCAGCTGTGCATTCATATTTCGTCATTCACCGACAAGTTGTACCGGTCGTGATAGTACGGGTGAACTTCAGGCTTAATTTTATGCCTATCTGGCCAACCGCTTAGGCAATAGCTGGCTACTGTAGTTAATATACCATCTTGACTTTGAGATTTTCTGATGTTGTCTAATTGGAATGTGTAACTGGTAGAGAGCTTGTTATACTGTTGACAAATGCACGAAGGTCTTCTTCTATGCTGCTTTCGTCTACCTGCGTGCCCAAAGGGTGACACGATAGCGCCTCGGCTGCTGCTAAATACTTGCCCGCGGTGTAGTAGATATCGTAAACGTAGCGCATCATTCGCATGCGAAACCTTTGTAAGCGCGGTGTAAGCTCATCTAAATTTTTTGTTGTGAAAATGGCGATTAGCGGTTTGTGATCTGTTTTAATGAAAAAGTCTATCACAGTAAGCAGTTCTGGGAGCTTCTCACAAGCCGCCCAAGTAATTGCCAGCGCTTCTTTTTAAATTTGCGCATAGCCTCTTTCTGCTGGAGAAAGCGTTCTGTATTCGTATGCTACAGGCCGAAGTGTTTCGTTTTCTTCTACCTGTAGTAAAACTGACCCGAGCCCATATGACGAGGCATCTGATGAAAGTATAGTTTTGTGCCTTGGGTCGTATAATTTCAGGACAGGAGCCTTGATCAGCATTGCCTTAAGCATGTTCAATGACGTTTCCTGCGGCGTATCCCACTGATATACAATATTGCCAAGCCGTAGTTCGTTCAAAGGCTGGCTCAGATCTGAAAGAAACGGGATAAATTTTCCAAGAAAATTCACCATACCGAGAAACCGTTTAAGTTCTGTGATGTTCGTTGGCGTTGGGTAATCCTCGATTGCTTTCAATTTTGAATCCCCTGGACGAATTCCCTCTGCGTCAATGTAGTGACCCAGAAACTTTAGAGAAGTTATTCCAATCTCGCATTTATCTTTGTTGAGCGTGGCGCCGTTTGCCTTCAGTCTGTTAAGAACCTGGCGTAAGGACTCGTCGTGACTCCTCGCATTAGCACCGAATATCAAAATGTCATCCATTTGGCCCGTGATGTCTTGCAGAATTATTTGCATTCGCTCCTGGTATATTTAAGGTGCAGACGAAATGCCAAATGGTAATCTCAAAAAGCAATATCTTCCAAAAGGCGTTAAAAATATTGTTAAAGGCTGTGCTTTCTCATTAAGCTTGATTTGCCAAAATCCTGAGTTAGCATCTAATTTCGAAAAAAGTTTCGCTCCTGAAAGCTGCGCCAGTGTTTGATCAGCTACTGGCATCGGATGGATTTCCCGCTCCACAGCAGAGCTTAGCTTCGTAAGATCAACACATAACTTAATCTCCCCGTTGTTCTTGGGAACAATTACGAGTGGATTACACCAAGGAGTAGGTTCGTTAACCTTTTTTATTACATTTAATTTAACCATTTCATCAAGTTTCTTTCTTAGGGTTCCTTTTAGCGCAACTGGAACGCGTCTAGCTGTGAAAACTTGAAATGGTTTCGCGTCGCGTTTAATCTTAATTTCGAACTCAAATTTCTTAAAACACCCAAGTCCATTGCAAACCATTGGATATTCTTTGTAAATGT